CGGGGGCGCCCCGAGGGGAGGCCTGGAGACGGGCGCCGCACGCCGGGCCGGGGCTCTTGCAGGCTCAGGACAAGCGGAGCCGCTTCCCAGCCTGGCAGGGGGCACACCGTGCAGCTGTGCCCAAGAAGGCAGCTTTCCTGCAGGAGAACTGCGCTTCTGGCGCGGGTCAGCCGCTTTACGCCCGGTTCCTGGAAATGGGAGTCCCTACCTTTGCTTGCTCCGAGGGTCTTATGGCTAAGGGCATAACCTCCGGGCTTGGGCCTGCATTGAGTGGGGGGCACATGCCCCCCCTGACACCAGTCAGAGACCAGGGGGCGGATTGTGCTGACCGGAGGGGGTTCCCCGACGGCCTGTCTCACTGGCCAGAAAGCAGCCGTGCCACTTCTGGAAGTCCCGCGGCCACTTCTGGAAGCGGCACCACCGCTTTTGCTGGCAGCCCCCCTCCCTGGCTAGCGTTCGCAGTGGGGGGGCACTGATGCTCCCGCCTACCCCCTGCCCACTGGCGAAACAGGGAGCACGGCCTGACAGGGGGTGCACTGGCACTTTCAGGGGGTGCACGTGCACCCCCTACGCATCGACATTGGCCAATAGGATGCCCACCAAAGGTTTTGGAAACCTCTGAAGCCCCAGGTGCGGGCGAAGGATGTTTGCCGGTAGCAGGGCCACATGGTTCTGGACTCCTGGATTTGGAATTAGTTTCCGCTAATTTCGCCTTAGATACAAATTATAAAAAAAAGAAAAATAAAAGCCTTGGCCCCCGGCTGGGCTCTGCCCTTGGGCCTGGCAGCCGCCGTGCCTTCAGGTGCGGCTGGGCTCTGCCCTTGGGCCTGGCAGCCCCCGTGGCTTCAGGGGGCTTTTTTTCTTTTGAAATGTCGTATTTCAGGCTGAAGCAGCCTGGTCAGTGCCAAATGCTATGGGCTCAATTATGCAGGGGTCCTGTCCTGCCTCCCAGACTCCAGTCAGGGACTTTAGGTACTCCTAGGTCCATGGCAGGCCATGCCCGCAGGATGCGGATGCCAGCCAGCCGCTGGGGACCCCAATGCCTTGTTCTCTTCTGACACCCCTAACCACAGGGCATACGACTAGGGCAGAGCATTTCGGCCCAGTCCTAAAACCTCCCTCAAGAGCTGTGATTGACGTTGCTTAGTTGACTTTGGGATTTGGGACTTGCCCTCTCCTCTGCTGGACCTTACTCAGCTGTGGAATTGGATATGGATGCTTTCCCTGGTTGCAGAAGGTTTAAGTATAGGGAAATGGTGCATTTCAGGCCCACCATTTGCATTTAAATAGCAACGATTCTTTACCTTGCAGCTACACCCAGGTTTAAGAGCCACTATAAAAATACTGGCTACTGTACAGCACAAGGGGATTCAGGGGCCTGGGTTCTTTTCTCCACTCTGTCTCCAAGCTGCCGTCTCAAAGGAGGTCACTTCCTCTCTGTGTGATTCTGATTTCCTGCCCTCTCTTTAGCTCTCTTGTATTTAGTTCAAAAGTTTTATGGGTCACGGACTATCTGTTCCTAGGCATTGATAAAGCACTCAGTACAATAGGGCCCAACCTTAAGTAGGGCTGCCAGGTGCTATCATAATGCTTCTAAGTAATAGAAATGTCATAAATAATCTGTGCATTTCAGTAGCAACCTTATTGCCATCACCTGCTTGTGAGTCCTCTAAAGATTTTTAGCCTCAGAGCTGGATCCTGGATCCTGCCTGCCTGATTCCTATGAACAATGCAGCACTGGCTCTTATGTACTTACAGATTTATTGCACGGGAACCAGAAAGTAAAAATCATTTCTCCTTATGAAAGAGGAGTTTAATGCAAATAGTTAGCAAACAACATATCAAATCAGAAGCTCTTTGCTTCTGTAGTAAGCTCCTCAGGCCAGAAGTGGAGCTTTTTTCGCGCTTTGTACAACACTGGTAGGGGGCTGGCTAAGGACAGATAGCATCCATGCCATGCCACAGGTGTGCATTTTCTGGATCGCTCCTGGGCAGTCACCAACCAGAATTATAACTGGGTTTTGACTGACCCTGGAAGGGGCTGCTCTGGGCAGAGTGCAGCCATGTTTCCTCCATTTCCAGCCTTAGTCCTTTAGCCTTCAGTATTCTGCACTGACGGCATTGAGACACCACAAAGGAGATGTGGGGCAGGAATAAGGCTGTGGCCCCTATTCTTTTCAAGAGTGGGGTTGCTGCTTCCCCAGGCTCTGCTTCCCCTCTTCCCTTGTTCTCCTCCTGAATAAATCAAGATGACCTTCGGTGCTCCTGTAGCTGTGAGACCTCTTCAAATCACAGCCTAGTGCTTAAAAACCATAACACAGCCGATAATAAATAGCAGATATAATGCCAATACAATACAACATTCATTTGCTTTAATGGTTACTAAATGGGCAGCTGGTTGGTTAAGTGCACCCTGCTTCTCTGTAAGCCAAATGAGAGTGCCAATGAGACAGATGCCAGTGCTGGAAAAATACCTTCCACAGCTGGGCATCTGGACCCTGTTACTGCCTTCAGGAAGGGACAAGAATATTGATATATATTCCTGAGGTCACAATATTTATTTGCGAGTCATGGAGGGCAGAGCATGCACACTTTGTATGTACAGTGCTCTGTTATTTCAGGTGGTGTAAAAGAGGCATATACTAGATGGACAGTAGTTATGCAGTAGTTTCAAATCTCCGCCCACATGCCTAAAGAGGCCTGACTGTCACCATTTCGATACCAGCATCAGTAGCAAATTAGCTTTTGTTATTTGTCCTTAACATTGAGCCTCAAGGGGCCTGGATTCTCCTCTAGCTTAGGAGTAACTGCTGAAGTAAATGGAGTTAAGCCAATGATGCGTGTGCAGAAAGAGGCCCATTATCTCACTGAATAAAGCAGTATATTAGCCTAAGAGGGTGAGGTTCCTGTGCTTAGTGGTCATGTGGAACTGGGGCATTTATGCATATTTATATGTTTATACAGTACTTAGTACCATGAAGTGTAGGTTCATGTCGGGATTCGAATAATATCGACAAGAGATAAAGTCTAGGTAGCTAGAGCAGGGAACCACCACTCTGTTCCCAATATTATTAAACCAAGCTAATCCCTTATATTCTATGTGCCTCAGTTTCTCCGTCTATCAAATGAGGATATAAGTATTTCCTTCCCTCATTGGCTTGTTGCTGTGAGCATTAATGTGTATGTAAAGTGTTTTGAGATGTTCCACTGAATGGCTTCAAGGTTGGAACTGAGTAATTTGCAGTGTCCTTAGAAGTGGCTTTGGGGGGGCATTCTCTTACAAGCAGGTTTTGAAAGAACATGGCAGCTGGTGCTTTCCAAAGCAAAAAAAAAGATCTTCAGAAGATCCTGTCTGATGCAGGGAATAAAGTAAACCTTGACACACATTTAACAGCATGCAAAGACAGAGAAGAAACCCACTGGGAAAATTCTCCCCACCCTTTTAATTGCACTTCAGTAAAATCATTGACTGCAAAGTTAAAGTGCAAAATATAACTATTACTTTGATGTACCAGACATTTTCATCATTCAAGCGATTGCTGTCTTGAGAATGAATCTGGCTGAATGAGCACGGGGAGGGAGGGCGGTAGCCCAGAGTTTGACTATAGGCTCTGCCAGCAGGACACTGGGGGCCCTGAATAATCTTTCTGTTGCCGTTTCTGCACCTCCCCACTTACTGCACACAGATGTTGAGAGAGTTAATTGTTGTAGTGAACTGAATATGCCAATCCCATCTTCACTGAATGATGGTCCCTCTGTCTGTAACACTCAGGTGACTTTCAGTGTGCCCGCAAAGTATCATCAGCAGAGAGAAACACTGCTGGGCCCATGTGGTTGGACATGGGGCTGTACCTCTGACCCACCCCACGGTATAGAGGAGTATCAGGGATTGGGAGGGGACATAGAAGAGCTCTGCCACCCTATGCCACTTCTCCACTGGTGTGGAGTCTACAGGAGCCATACGACTTAAGAGCTGTTCAGTGGCAACTCTCAATTGCATTAGATCTGGAGTCAGATCTCAAGATGGGATGTTTGGTGGTCACCCTGCTCTCTAAGTACACTACAGCTCTGACCCAGGAGAGGATTTATGTAGGCTAATACAGTACTATATCAATGGGGAGGAAGATTGTTATTACTGTGACTGGAGGAGCCAGAATGGCTGTGTAGTGAATAGACAAATACCACTGTGGCACACCCAGGTTTGCTGCTGTTTGATTTTCTTTCCTAAGTATAAAAATCTCCTGAGAAGCAGACAAGATGTTATATTCTGTATTATTCCACTGAGATTGTGCTGCCTCTTTTGGAGTTACTTATTTCAAAGATAGTGCAGGAGATAGCATCTGCCAATGAGGGTTTAAGGACTCTGTACACATGGCTCATTGACGGGACAGTCTACCTTCTAAGCCATCGTCCTGTGCCTGCGAGCCTTTTGAAAGGATATGCAGAGTCCTTTCAGATGAGTATTACTGGCAAGACAGGATGAAAACTCTTTCCGAATGATGTCATGATCATGCTAGGAAAAGGTAAAGTCCCAAAATCTTCACTATATGGTTCCCAAGGTGAATTCTTTTACAAAATGTTGTATAATGGCTGATACAACATGAGTAAAATTATGCTCAAACCAACTCAGGCACTCACGCACATATTGCTTGAGCTACCATACATTTATCATGTCATAGGGCATTTATTAGCGTGAGAATTATACTGACGTGACAAGCCAGAAGCTTTCCTCT